ATGGTCACAGCTGCCACCATGGTCACCCCAAATTGGTGTCACTGTGGTCACACCAAACACACCAACAGCCTAGGCCCCAAAAACACCACAGGGGTCACCATGGTCACCCCAAATTGGTGTCACTGTGGTCACACTGGACACACCACAGCTGCCACCCTGGTCACACAAACACAGCACAGCACGTTTGGAGCCTCCAGCTGGGAGAAGAGTGATGGTCATTTGGATGATGGGGAGCCTGGAAGCTCAGGGACACCCAGCTGTGCCAAGGGTGACCATGGTGTCCCTCCTGAGCTCCTGCTCCCACTGCAGAGGGAAATCCCTGTGCCCCAGTGAGGCAGCACTGTGGATTTGGATAACCAGGAGTAGCTGTTCCACCAAGGTCTCCCTGGTGCTTCAGGCTCCAGCTGGCCTTTATTTGAGCAGAACTAGCAGGCAGTGATGGTGGGAAGAACAACCCAAGAGCAGGGGACAAGGGAGGCTCTCTGAGGCCTCCCCAATGCCCCTCACACCACCAGAGCCAGCGAGGCACAGCCCCACCAGTGACAAACACTGAAAGCTGCAGTGCTGCTCCAGCAAGGGCCGATCAGGATGACAACAAGAAGCCAAAGGCAGGGCTGGCTGTGCCTGCACTGATTGGCAAAGGCAGCAGCAGAGCCTGAGCCCAGCTCCCTGACAGGGGCTAACGCCTCGCCCGCACCCCCGTGTAATTACACACTTGAGTGACTGGACTCTGAAGAAAATTGAAGGCCTGAGCTGTGAACAGCTGCCATTTTCTCTCTCCATCACGCCAGCGTGATTACTTGAGAAATGAACAGCCCCAGCTCAAAGCTACTCCAGAATTCTCAGAGGAAATATGGCTCCGTGTTCAAATAATGAGATTCTTAAGGCAAGCGTTACTTACAATCACACCACACACCAAAGAGGGAAAGGGGGAAAAAGGGGAAAAAGGAGGGCCAGGAAGAAAGAACACCACCATCCTTACATCTTGCAAATGAGAATTTAAGAAACCCACCTTGGGTCTAGGAAACTATGACGCTTTTCTTGCTTTGGAGAGTTATTTAGTGGATGGCTACTTTGGATGTATTTTGGGCAGTAACAGACCCCACTATGGTTGTAAAATAAAAGACAAAAAGAGG